CCGGACTCGCGAACGGTTGAAATCGGAATAGCACCTGCGTTGGGATACCTCGTAATGTCACGTTGAAACCTCAACCGGATCTCGAAACAACTCGCATTAATTTTTAACGAGCAAGATTCCCAAATTTTAGTGATCGTTTACGAGTAACGTGAAAGAAACGCTTAAAACATATCGTTAAAAATTAGCTTGTATTTTTTCAGCGAATGCATGACGGTCGGACATTTTACAGGAAATGGCGTTTCCCTTCCCTCGGATGCGATCTCTTGCATGCTACGAGGGCGATCTCGACTTGGCAATGCTCGAATGTTCTTGCAACGTTATATCGCGATCCATCCTGACGTTAATTCTGCTGTTAATTAATTCGACACTTTAATTGTTCGTATATCTTGCATTATTTAAGAATGATTTATTGTTATAATTGCGACTGTCTTATCTTTACATTAATAATTGCTTTAGCAATTATTTATGACGAAATTATTCCACTAATTAGTAATTCAATACGTTCTCTTTTACGTGGGATTTTTCATATACTGTAAGCTTCTTTATTTTAGTAATTGCATTCGTTTTATTTCGATTAATCATCTCATTATTGTCGATTAATCTTTAATTATATTTAATTATATTTATTTAAAAAATTCAACAGATAATTATTTCTTGTTCACTAAATCACAATGTAGCAATATTGGAACTTTTTACAAGTAATAAAAATGATAAAATTCGCGGAAATTCTTAATGTTTGAAATCAATAATAAATTTTATCATTTATAAATTTGTACTATATCTTTATGAAATACACGAGTTATATCGATACGAGCCTCTCGCGCTAAGGGTGAAGGATCCTTGAATATATCTCATGAGCATATTCGTGTTGTAGGATAAATGATATTTGGCATAGCATCTCCGACAACAGACATGCATCACTTTCTCGAAGACTGCAACCGACGCGAGTGATGAATCGTACCGCGAAGTTTCATTTTTCATTTCTCTCGAAAGAAATCTTATACCCACTATATTGCCTTTAATACGTTTTATGTGAAAAATATTCTTACAGTGCACAGCGATATGTTCGAATCAATAAACGCACAATATTTTTTTTATCTCTTACACAGCTGCTGTGAGAAATATGTCGATATTTTCATAAAATGCATTTTTATTACATCTAAACTCAAAGTCGATCTAAATGTTCTCACCGTCGTGATAAATATCATAATTTTTACAATATTATCTCCACATATCGATAACTGTCACTTATATGTAAGACGTGTGTCTCATATTGAGTTTCGATACAGCGACGTTTCGAGACAGCATTGAGCATGTGTATTATTCACCGCAGTGTTATTAATGCGTCTCGTAAACACGAGCGCGCGATGTCTATTAAATTCGATGTTAAATATACTGATTCGTCGCTGCAGGTGGCAATGGTAGGTCATTTGGACGGATGGAGGGAACGACCGATATTCAAGCGGTCGATTTTCAAGCTCTCCTCGAGTCATCGTCCTCGCGAAAAGAAAAGAAGAGAGCTATTCCTGAGGGGAAAGAGAGAATCTATATCTCGAAAATCAAAACGCTCGTATTTATCGCCATCGTCAATAATGCTACGCAAAAAATCGCAAGTTACCTAAGAAATCTACAAGCTCTCATAATAAAATGCTTTTCATTATACTATTTTATGTAAAGAAAAATGATTATCTTGCTATCTGTGTAGTATTATTAAAATATTAATCTTGTAGTATTATTAAAATACTAATCTTGCTATCTGTGTAGGTATTATTCCTTTTTTAAACTTTAAAGTATGGAAATAAATAAATAAATACTATATGGATAAATTTCTTATTTAAGTTTTTAAGCCACAAAGAAATTTAAGAACCGATAATAAATTACCATACAATTATTTGATTTTGAAGTACTTCGTCCTAATTGAATTATTAGCAATACATAGTCGATTTATGATCAATTGAGTGAATTTAAGTACATCAGCTGTTATAAAAAATATTTTTATAATCAAAGAAATATTTTTGATATCCTCGAGTAATTTTCACGTAATAACGTAAATTCGTGTGGAAGATGATAAAACAGGTTCCTCGAAGGTGCTTTTTTCGTGTCGGCATGCTGAGAACCCGATCGCCGATTCGTCGCACTCGTGAGAAGAACGGGATTGCCACTCGCGCATATTTATCATCGCCGTTAATAACGCGCGAGAAAAAGCCTTATCGCACACCGCAGCGAATTTTTCGATGGCCACTCGTCTGACATGGTCGATAGTCGCTGAAAATTAACTTCGTCGCAGAGTACAAAAACAGGCACGAAATAAACTTCAAGATCTTTTCACAGTCTTCAGATGCAATATTTTACGAAAAATATTTTTGCAGAGAGCACATAGAATAAAAATTAATTTTTTGTATCATTTCAAGACAATTAATTTCTATCATTAATTAAATAAATATTTCATTAAATAGATATAAGATTGAAATAAAATAAAACAAAAAGATCAAAAGAATATATAATATTTAAAAAAAAAATTAAATTTATGACATGAGCAATATGTATAAATATACGTAAAGTGTAAAGCAGTAAACACTTCTTCTCTTTCTTCTCCTTTTACGAGAGCATATAAACATTTACGGAGACAAGTTCGGACGCTTTAGTTCCATTTTGCAAAGGATAAAAGCAGAAAGAGGAGGCGGAAGAAGAGGAAGAAGCAAGAGAGAAAGACGATGAATGCACTCGCCACACCCTGCTTTAAAGATTGTAAACGATTATTAATGCCCACTGCGGTTTGACCCGTAACCCGGCGGTGGGTCTTCTCGCAAACGTGTTTTTGCCTCGTTTCTCTCACCCCAAATCTATCCCTTTTCCGAACCCTCCCTCTTCCACCCTCAAAATAATCTCCGACCAAGATACTCAGGCGAGATCGCGGATCATCTTTCGATGGAATCGATCCGGTTTTTTTCTTAATTAGTCTGCCAGGCTTCCTCTTGGTAAAAGATAAATAATAGGGTTACGTCCGGTTACGTTCACTAATTTGCGTAACACGCCGCAGGCTTCGAAATATTCGTGCCAGCAATCATCCAGCCGTTGAGGGGGAGATGAATTATCCGGAGAGAAATGCAATAAAATATTAAAGCAACAAAAAATAAATTAACATTTATTTTTCATCGAAAAGAAATCAAGAGCGCCATAATATTTTGCATTTTTAGTCTATGTTTTAGTTAAATTCATTGCATATGTATTCTTAAGGATTCATTGCATATGGATTTTTGCGGATGTTTATCGAGAATTTTTTATTATTAAGAAAATGATTTTCTATAATAAAAATCTCTGTCAATTATAAAAAATTCACGAATGATGGAAAAAATTCATGAATATCATTGAATACTTTGATCAATTGTATCTATTACTTAAAAAATTTCTATTTGGAATTCTCCGAACATAAAATTTATTATATATACTACATATCTTTCTCAAATTTAAAACTTTAAAAATTTCAGAACAAATGTAGAAATGCGAAATTTGTTTCGCGCCACTTTGATGTAAATACGATAATGCAAATAACGCGTGTCGTGAATAACGCCAATAAAACTGCTCGATTTAAGACGATATCATGTCGAATCCGTTCATTAGGAGAATCATTCGGAGAATGCGAACGGTTTGATAATTAATAATAAGATGAAAATAACAAGCCGAAGGAAACAGGCAGATAAATAAATGGCGTTCTTTCCATGTGAAAGTGTTTGCGCACATCAATGCCGTTTTTGCTTTCCAGGTCGTCGTTTCGAAACATCGGGAATTCAAAGTATAAGTTCAATAGCTTGACGATTTGCCTCCGATTCGACGCAATATGAAGAGTATAAAGATAACGAGGCGGCGCTTGAAGAGAAGTCGATGAGCAATTATGCAAATCGTGCGCGACACGTGCTACGTTCGACGATGATATTCATTATCGAATGGTGAAAAACAACACTAAAGAAATGTATGGAAAGGTACTGATTCAATGAGCATCGCGATGCTTAAAACAGAAGAACTCCCGATCCAGGTAGGAGAAGAATAAAACCGAAAAAACAACGAACGACGAATAAATCGGTTAGGGCTGTTACGTTCGTGCGTATGTATCAATTTACGAGCCAATCTCGCCGCTTACCGGTATTCCCTGCGCGAAGCGTAATTTTAATAACCAATCATCGCATCGCGAAGATACGACACGATATGACGCGGACGTAAAGATAACGAAACGGCGGGCCAGCGCGAAAATTATGCAAATCGTGCGACGCTGCATTTGCGACGCAACGTTCGATGGAATTTAAAATGCATACGCTCATTTGTCACATCCGCGAAACTGTGCTATCGATCCTGGGTGGCAAGCATATATAAAACATCTCAAATGTGAAAGATATGTAAAAGATATTTTTGATGATGAAAGAAATGAGCCGATGAACCCGAGACACAAATTCGCAGTAGTCTGTCTCATAAGTTTATATTCGTTTCGCTTGATCGGCAAATCCATTCGCATATAAATGATGATTGACGTGCTACCGCGCATGTGACAAATTTATATTGTCAAGAGAAACAATTTATATTAATTAATATTAATTAATATACATTTATATTAATTAAATATATTAAATATAATGTCTACAATTATTTTAAACTATCGTATTATTTATAAACTATTTTTTAAAAAAATTTGGAATTAATTTTTTCTGAAATTATTATAATTATCTTGCATAATGAAAAATAGTAAATAAAAAAAGTAGATGTTTTTATTAAAATAATCATCGAATTGAGAAATATAAATTGCGAAAATAATACGAAAGTTTAAAAACTTGATTAATGGAAAATATGATGGAGAATACAAAATTGATCGGAGACAGACACAACTTTATCGAGTCGATATTTGAAATGAAGAAAACTCGGCCGGAAACAATCGCGCGACACAAGGAAGAAGACCGCAAGGAAAACAGAAAGTCACAAGGAAAGATAGAAATAGATGCTGTGTGACTCACCATGAAAACCATGAACCTTGATTGCAGGTTGGCGCTCCCGATGTAAGTCTGCGTTTCCAGCCACCGTGATGATCGCCGGGATGGTATCCGTTTCCACTTCACTTCGATGCAAGACTGTCCCTTCTTTTTCTTCTTCCTTCACACTCAACACAGCCGCGGGAAAAGAGTCGATCTCACTTTACCGAGATTACGCGCGCACTGGATTTTCCCTCCTTGTTCTTTTTTTATCTATCTCCCAAATTTCGGCGAATGAAAGGACGCCGAAAAATTATTGTCGTCGAGAAAAGTATATAAGCGATATAAGCGGACGTGTTTATTCACAAGACGCGATTTTTATTGCTTACGCGATCATGCAAAAAAAAATACGGATCTATATTCGCGTCTTTAGTCATTAGTCGCGAATAATCGACATGTACCCGATATTTTATTAACTATTAATTGATCTAGCTAAGTAACTTATTAATTGGCTATCGCGCGGTGACGGCGAATATTAGTCGTCTACCGGCATTCGATTGGCATACTGGCATAAATACTGGCCCGTTTGGTTCCGGTCACCTGCAATATAAATGAATCATTGTCTGCATTAGAAATTGTCGTCTATGAAAAATTAGGCAATATAATTAAATTTACGGAAATCATAATTTCAGTCGCCTTTGTGACAGATATTGATACAGTGCTTGACGCATTGAAATCGAACTTATCTCGAATCAACTTTTTGCAAATATCTGTCTCAATCGTATGCATCTGATATCATTAGAAATAAAAAAATGTCTATTTTATAAAAATAAATTGGATTCAATTCAGCAACCTTCACACTTGTGTATCAATTTCAATTAAAATAGAATCCAATGTTAAATATTATTTATAATTTAATAAAGTGTATTATTAGTATTTATATAAAATATAACATTCATTAATAATATTCATATATATATATATATATATATATATATATATATATAATTTTTTTTTTTTTTTTCATATTAAAACTTATATATTTGAATATATTTGAAAATATTATCATACGCTCGAGATAAAATGCATAAATATATAGTATTAAAATTTCTCAATTATTATTATAATTATATGAAATTATTATTATAATTATATGAAATTTTTTATAAAGAATAACAATAAAAAATATTTGTATTGTATATTATCAATTCAAAAGACAATAATACAAAGAAAAATGTTCTCAACGGATTCTAAAGAAATATTGGCCTTCATTGTTTTGTTTCGATAATCTAGCTATCTAGCATAATCAATAGGTTCACCAGAAAAAACGTAGCGAATCGAATAATAGATTGAGCAAACGCCAATGGCGATGGCATCATTTTGCAGGGCGCGGTCAAGTGGTTTCAGGACGAGCCTGTGTGACGCACCCGGTCTTTATTTAAATCATTCAATCTGTCACGTTATAATCGATTAACGCTAATAGCCGAAGAAATAGAGTTCATCGTAGCTCGAAGCTGCTCATACTACTTTCATACTATTATCTTTTGAATCTTCTCTCGATCGTTTTCCACTTTTAAATATGTCTTGGAGAATAGAAATAAAAGTCTATAACAGGATAGCTTTTGAATTAGCCGATTGTTATTTTTAAAGAAATTTTAGGCTGACAATAGCATTTAAATTTTAAATATATTTAATTACATTTTTAATATATTAGTGATTTCGAGTCTAATTTCAAAATGTAAATTTCTATTAAATTAAATCGTCTTTAAATTTAAAAATAAAATTTGTGTTTCTTGCATTATCTTATTAAAACTTGATTCATTAAAATACTTATATATTTTTGATTATCATTATTAATTACTTATTTAATAAACACCTTGCATACATGTTTGCGCTCGTTTTTGCCGCTTATTAGCGATTTGCACTATGTGTCTTGCTGACGTACGTTTCTATAAGTTTATGAATGGAGAAACACGCGTGCCCGTCGACTGGAACACACTGTGTGTAAGATGCAGCAACAACGAAAGTGACCTGCTTTAGGTTGTATCTGTTCGCTTGAAGCGTATGCATACATATATGGCGCGTACACGTATAACTATGCACGTATACATTTATATATGTGTAGCAAGCAAACAAGACAGATAAAGAATCGCCCCGAATAACTGCACCGAATGGCAAACTGCACGATAGACGAACACGTGTCATTATTGATGTAAAACGCGCAGAAAAGAGCTACTTCGATGATTTCTTCAACGATATTATGGCGAGAATTTGAAAGAGCAAGACATGTATTATACTGTTAGAGAAAAATCTTCTATACGAATAAAACATTCGAATAAAATAAAATTATAATTAATTTAGATTATATAGCAGTGAAAGATGATTAAAAACTATTAAACTATTTTCCTTTAAAAGAAAATTTAAAAATGTAAAAAATAAAAAATGAAAGATAAAAATACGTATACAATGCTTATATTTTATAACTTTAATTTTAATATATACAAAATTAGCTTTCTCTTTCTCGTAAAGAGTAAATAGTTTCACGAAAAGTTAATTAAAAGTAATTGTTAATTCTTAATAATAAATTAAGATATATTAATTAAATGTTAGGCATTTTTAGTAAAATTGCTCATAGAAGATTTAATTAACTTAGGTTACAAACTGGATATGAATGCATAATAACAGAATAATGAAGATTTAGCATAACACGATGTTCATTAAAATGCAGATGAAATTATATCGGAATCATTAGTTATCGTCGTCAGTCATCCCGTTTTATTATCACCATTTGTCATAATCGATAGAAAGTTACAAAGCGTAAAATTAATCATGTATCTGTATATCTAGCGCGAGAACCAAAAGTGACTTTCTCGTGCAACTACGATACTAAATTAATGACTGAATTATCTCATTCGAGTTAAATGAGATAGCTGCGTATAGCAAAGTGCAACGATAATCAGATTGAACTTGAAACTTTCATATAAGTTCGCAATAATCGATCTCTTGAAGCACAATATAACGCTTCAAATCTAAAATAAAATAAGAAAGTTTCAAATTTCTCGATCGTTTATCTCGAAATAATAAGAAATAATTGATTGAATTGTAATTTGATTTATGTTGTAGATATGTTTAAGCTAAATGCATAATTATATCGACTATGATCCTTTATTATATCATAATCTTTATGATATCGTTCAATTTCTTCAAATAGAACTATTTCGGTGAGTTTCGTGACATCGTACTAACTAAAATAAATAGAAAAAAAGAAGAGAAAACATAGATGATACCCTTCTGCTATCAAATCGCCTACTTATTTGCATGCAAACACCGATATATCGGCGCAAATAATTACTATACGATAACGCGTTAGATAATGTTCGACGCGTATCAGATCCACGTGTGAAATACCACGTGTGAAATCGTACGAGCTAATTATTGCCAGGGCATTACCTTATCTGGCCTTGTAGCCGATTGCCTTGAAAACCGCAGTTGTACGTGGATAGCTGCATCGAATGCCAAGCATAGACTCGCGCATATTTGCGCAAGTCGCAATAGCGCATCTTACGAAATATTGCTGATTAGCTAATTAATTCATGTATACGCCTCAACAACCTCTCGAACTCCATTTTCATTCTTTGAGCACATCGATAAAGTTGATAAGCATATAAATCAGTGTAAGATAGTTGAGTTTCACGACGTTATACAATTCGAGTAGGCTTTTATGTATTTTCTTAGAATCAATTTTTCCGTGACATAATGTAAGTAGTATGCACTCGCGGTAAACGGGTTAACAAGATTTTATTTTTTTATTGCAACAAATAATATTTAATTATATTACCCCGAAAATGCATAAAATTTGTAATCAATTTATTATGTGAGAAAACCGTTATAATTCAAAAAAAATTTATATTTTTCGAACAAAAATGAGAATTTGCGAAATATCGGAATTACAAAATTTATGATTGCTAAATCAAAGTCAAAATTAAGAGAATCTGTAAAGTCAAGTGAATAATGAAGCACGAGAAGATAAAAGCTTTGCGAGTTTATCGCATCATCTATCACTGCCGCTTTTTCTTCGACGTTCATTTCTCCGCGACGTTCATATGTCCGATCGCTCATTTCGTTCGCCGATCTTCTAATCCGATTGATCGATCTCCGATTCGCGATGGCGCCATTAATTTCTTCGTTTCGTGACGATGGATCCATCAACACCGCAAATACCATTAACGCATACCGCGGCTTTTTGCAATTAACCTTACCAATGATTGCGAAATGGCCTATCTCACTAATCTATCGGGTTCCGTCTCGATTAATTAATCTAATCACCCTTTATAAGCTAACCCGACTTTCATCCTATCATCATCGCTAGAAAGCGGCTGAGCTCGCGATTACCAATTATTTTGGCGTATCATAATTAGCATAATTTGCCTAATTTTTCAATCGTTTTCCTTCTAAGAAGAATATCGACTGGCTATATTTTTCAATATTCCATTCTTTTAACGATAAAATTATTTTATTATTTTATTTTCTAGATTTTTATATCTTTATACTTGTATATCGTCTTAAAAATTTCGTCGATAGCAACACATTTCGTTTGAAAATATCATATACGAGATCATTACTTCGAGATATAATCGTTAGACAGTGTCGCAATAATCGCAAAAAAAACCCGCAGAAATAATGGTCGCTTGTCTCGGATTTTCTCTCGGATTACAAATCGCGATATTCTAGTTATGCGTGAGACCGTGATGACGCTAGAACGGGTGCGGATATTACGCGGGCGCACGACTAGACATTAATAAACTCCTCCTTCTCGCGGTGAACATTGACATTAATTTGAAACTCGTCCGTTCGAGATCTTATCGATGTATTTCGAAAGCGAATCGTGCCCGCGCATAGATGGTCGTATGCATACGTCTGCATGCATATGCATATGAAGCGTTTGTATAAACGATGAAATAACGTCGTAATTTTTTTCACTTGTGATTCAAATCTTGCGATAAAGTAATATATCGTCAATTTTAAACGTCATTTTGCGAAATATCGGAATTTCGTTAAATTTTAAGAAAGATATAATGTCTACTCTGTCAAATATATACTTTGAATATATTTGCGATATTAATCTCTAGTTGGAATGGCAATAATGTCTACATATCTCCGTACATTTTTTCGCTCAGTCCAGAAAGATTATGATAATTTCATATTTTGCTATGAATTTAAATATTTCATTGCAATCAATTTGCATCAATACGCATAACGGAAATGTTATTTGTACAAGGCAAGATTATTATTGCAGAAAATATTGTAATATTTGTAATAAAAATTTAAATTATATAATTCACAATGTATCATATATATTTATATCATATATATTTATTTGTGATAATTATCATATTATATATATTTATATTATATATATTTATTTGTGATAATTATCTTATTTTTGTTAAAATTTGGCTCTAGCTGGATTCGCAAAATAATTAACAGAAAACATTAGCAGAATTGAGCAACACCTGCTTACGATTCAGCTAAATCTCAAATAACACGTTTACTGCTTCCGCGGACTCAGTAAGTATAACTTTGCCAAAAATCTTCATTAG